AACCTCGCTAACCTCATCACCAGAAGCAAACTTCCTCAAGCCCAGAACACACCAAAAGGATCCAGACCGTGCCAGGACAAGAAATGCAAAACCTGCCAACACATCTCCACCACCCCCACAATTACTACACCCCACAACAGAGCCATCAGCATCCCAGGATCTTACAGCTGCACCTCCAGAAATGTAATATATCTCATCCAATGCACCAAATGCCCTGATGGAAAATACGTAGGAGAGACCAAACAACAACTGCACACCAGAATGAACGCACACCGGAAATCCATCAAAGACAGAAATAGCCAATTACCTGTGGGGGCACATTTCTCACAGGAGGGCCACTCTCTCTCCAATCTCTCAGTTCTGATCCTCAAAGGAAACTTACACAACACTTCCCAGAGACGAGCCTATGAGCTCCATTTCATCAACCTCCTGGATACTAGAGATCAGGGACTAAACATAGACATTGGATTTTTGATACATTATAATCTGCCTGGCAACTGACTCCCCAGCCCAGTTTTCATTCCATCCAGGAAGAGAACACACCAACTGCTGAAAATTCCTTAGCCTGACGAAGGGTTTTTGAACTTGAAAGCTTGCTTAATAACTATTCTCCAACTATTTGGGTTGGTCTAATAAAAGATATCAAATTCACCCAAGGAACCTTGTCTGCCTATGTCCTTAGACCAACACGGCTACAACCTACACCCCTACATAAATAGTGGGACATTCATAAAGAAAATGAGATAGCGCCAACTCAAGCATTGGATTTCTTGATGCAAAGTTTTGCACAAAGATTTGTTATAAAGAAAAGATCTGCTTGGCACTGATCAAGTAAAAATACTTGAGTTTCTTTTGTATTACCTCTGTTCTCAGTGGTAAGTCATCTGCCTCTGTGATCTCAGAACTAAAGGTATATTCAGATTCGTTGCTGCTGTGAGTTGAATCTGTTCTTCTGTGCCCAGGCTTGGGAATGCTCTGAAAAGTACAAATAAAACAAGTCAGTACCAGCAGTTGGTTTTTCAACATTTACTTGTCATAAACCCTGCAGGTAAGCAGTTAGTGCTCTGTGTTACTTCATAGCAATGAGAATTCTGGGAATGGTTGAGATGGCTCTTCCCCTTGTGCAACATGAAACCAAAGCACACAGAAGAGATTTGATAACCAAGCCTCTTGGGGAAGGGTAGCAGAAGTGAGCAAAAGTGCAGTATTTTGTGGAAAGTTAAACTTGAGTGATCAGGAAAAGAACAGTCAGCCCAGGATAACCGAAGTAGCAAGTATCCTGTGAAGATTCTGTATTTCCCCACATCCCCTTGCAAGTTTAATAGCGGCTGAATTGGCTACAGATGAAAAGGAGGGGAAGCAGAGTTGGGGAGCAGCACAGGTTAGTATTCCATGGATCTGTAAGACTGTAACTAACAATCAGAGGTCAAAGAAGAGGTTTTGAAAAAAATCCTCTGTAATTCAAGACAACAAGTCAATTAATAATAAAAGTTAAATGCTGTGGATGAGCAAAACTAATCAAATCAGGAGCTATTATTGCTCCTACATACAGGCACACAGTTCCAACACCCCATATATATGAGCAAAATCTAAATGATTTCATAATAATAATAATTATATCTAAACGAGTTCTGTTAAAACACAGTCCAGGAACACTTCATCATTCTCCTAATTTTTAAGCTACTTACCACCATGAGGTTCATCTCGTCCTTGAGATCATCATAGCGTTCTTCTAAGCGGCTGAACTCATTCAGTAGGTTCTGATACCTTAATCGTTCATCATTCAGATCCAGCTCAAGCTGTTTAGTTTCCTCAGCTAACTTCTTCTCCATGGTCTCTGTCACAGAAAACATGAAACCAAAGCATGAACAACGGTTCTAACTTACTGTGTGGTGTCCACATTCTGTAGATGCAAGATAAAGTTCAGGATATTCTACGTGTGTAAAGACATTGTTAAAAAGCAAAAACAGCCTATAGCACTTGTGCTGTCACAGTAAAGTACTGTATCAACAAAGACACAAAGGACTAAAACATCATTTCATGGCAAGACTCATTAGGACATTTTAAAATTATTTTTCCAATGTCTTTCTACTAATAGGTTAGAGTAACAGCAATAAAATGGTCTACAAATTAAAATTTTATTTTAAAACCCTCTGCCTACTTTTATGTTGCATCAATCCAGCATCTGAAGATGGCATCTCCATTTGTGCATGATTTTCAATGTAAAATGAGGGGTAGAGTTAGGTGTACATTAGAAAATAATTTGATAACATGCAACAATGCATCTGTTCTTTGGAATACACTATAGACACAGTTGGCCCCTGTGTGCTTTTTTTTCCTGTGCTCATAAACTTCAAATTAAAGGGGAATGTAGTTTATAAACTGCTAAAATTGGTCAGGTCTGAGTGCCAATGACTATAAAGAGTGCTGCTTTACAAATGACACTAAACAGAAAAAATGGAAGTGCAGTTATTAGGACTGACCTGTGAACTCCTTGGCTTGGTCACAGATGCGACGATTCAGCTCCTCCTTCTCATTCTTCAGCAACGTATTCTGTTCTTTAAGTTCCGACACCAACTGCAAAAACAAACAAAGAGCATTGGGTCAGGAGGAAGGTTTCAGTCAACGTGCCCTGGTGCTTAAAGCACACCCTAAGCTCTAAAGGATCTAACTCAACATCTACAAGCTTGCAGTAAGACTTCAAAACCTTAAAATGTTCTAACTGTCCCTGAGAGAATCAGATCAGTAAGTTGAAGTGATGCCATCTTCACTTCAACTTCACATCCTTCTACCCTCCTGTATGAACAACACTGGATTTTCTGTCATATGATAAAAGTGACTTTGACACCCTAAACTATCTATAACGTCTTCCAGTAAAATTACAAAGAATGCCATTGCCTCCAAAGACATACAGATTAGAGACAAATTCAATATCCTTGCCCCATGTTTCCATTAAAACTTGATGAAAATCTAAGGGCAAGTCTGCCCACAAAAGTTGTATTACTTTAATTCATCAGGGCAGTTAAAATGGTGTAAAGGACCTAGTGTGAATGCATTTGTTCTGCTATAAAGCATGGCACACCAGCCTACCTGCATCCACATTAGAGGATGTATACATGTAACTATACTCGAAAAAAAAATTGTCCCCTAAAAGATAGCTATACTAGTACATAGTGTAGAACAGGTTTATAAACATTTAGGCTACGGACAGAAATTACACATAATCAGTATAAATGATCAGAAACAGGTTCAAATCTGTAACACAATAGAAGTTCAGCGTGCACAAACCGCTTTGAAAATGGCCCAAACCAATTTAAGATAAACCTGGATGGATGCCGTATTAGACTTAACTGATTCAGGTTAAATTGGTTTATTGCACTTCTCCCCGACATCCCCTCCAGATTCAAGTTAACTCCCAGTCCCCGAGCATCCCAGAATACTTTACACCTCCTGCGTAACTCCCCCCCCACCCCTGGCAGGGTAAGTGGGCTAGCCTTGGCCCAAGCTGTCTGCTCCAGCTGAGCATGGAGGCATGATCTAGTGCCCTCTGCTCCTGGCATGGGCCACTGCAGGCACGTGGCTGCATTTCCAGAATCAAAAGTGAACGTCTGTTCACTTGCTTATCGGTTCAATCTTAGACTAACCTGCAAAGACTTAATCGATTCAGCCTCATGCTTTTTGACTGTTTCTACTTAGCCTGAAAGAACTGTCCTACAGAGCTGTTCTTGTACAAAGGACCTAGAATCTGAACAAATTTCAATGGTAGAATCTGTTTGTTTGTTTCATCAGCAAGCAATAATGTACTTCCCATCTGATAGAGGCTTGGAGTGCAAACCAGTTTTCCAGAAAAAAAGATTTAGATTTGTAGGGCAATAACTGGTGCACTATCCATTACAGATGGCAGAGGAGACGGGAATGATCAGCCTGGGGTCAGATCATCTGTATGTCTGTTTCTAGCTTTAAAGAGTGCTCCATTCTGCAAGCTCCCAGTGCTGTCTGTACCCTATTACATATCCTATACCCAACCTCAGAACAAGAACAGAAAAGAGGAGAAAATTAACAGCCTCAGCTCTCCAAGTGACAGGAACAGTGAACTGCTGGGAATGTTAAAGATTGGTGGTTTGTCAAACCTGGTAGAGTTTTGGGCCTAGAGTTCTTACTTGCTCATTTTCCTGTTTGTATTTGTCTGCCCATTCCTCTATAGTCTTCTTCTCTGACTGAGTTCGGTGCAAATCTTTTCGGAGTTTGGCAACTTCCTCCTGAAGGCTGAGGACACGGTTGGTGGCATTCTTAGCTTCCTCCTCACTCATGCGCAGCCGTTCCACATCATTTCGCAGCTTCTCTGTCTCCGAGCTGTAGGTGTTCTCCAAGCTAGTTAGCTTCTCCAACAGAGATTTGTACTCTTTGCTCTTTGCAAAATACAATGCAGACAGGAGGAATTAGATGGGTTTTAGTCTTGTTTTAATGTAGCCTTCTGGTTACCCCTAAACACACCTAAGCCTAAGCAGCAAGACAGGCACCCAGCCAAACATCTCACCCTGGACTTTCAGGAAAACACCACAAGGGACAGAAGACACTCCAGTCTGCAAATGTGCATTTATATTGCAAAATAAGTCGGACAGAAAACCTGCATTCTCACCGCACCACCTCCTGACTACACACAATGACAAGCTTACAGCTAACACCATATTAGCTACCATGGATGCCACATCACTGTACATCAACATCCCCCATAAAGACAGATTACAAGAGTGAAGAACATTATCCCCAGTAAGAAAATTGCTTGTGTTTCCATTACACTCTCTGGCTTTGTCCTCTCATGCAATTGTTTCAGGTTTGGGGACTCCTTATATGTACAAATGAATGGCACTGCCATGACCCTTAAGTAGGCCAATATATTTATGGGAGACCTTGAAGTACCTTTTGTCTGCAGCTGCTCTCTCATCCTCATGATTTACTTAAGGTACTCTGATGACATCTTCATTGTATGGATGCATGGGATGGAATCTCTAGAGAAATTTCACCAGGCCTTTAATAACTTCCACCCCTCCATCAAACTCTGGAATATTCCACCCAGCAAATTCATATCTTAGACACTACAGTAACATTGTCAAGGTACACTTTGCTGACACATTTTATCCAACTGGCCAACTGCCACAGCTACCTCCATGCCACCCACCTTCATCCTAAGCATACTGTTAGATTCATGATCTATACCCAAGCTCTGCGTTACAACCATATCTGCTCTCACACTTTACAGATCTGGAGCAGGGATTCCTACAATTATAATACAACCCAAAACTGTAGCCATACAAATCAACAAGGCCAGATTTTGATCTTGCTCTGACCTGCTATAATACCAACCCAAGGATAAGGATAACGGAGTCCCTTTGGTTGTTGCCTATAGCCCCCCTGGCTTGAACACCTGAGACACATCATTAGTGACCTGCAACGCCTCCTGGAAAAGGCTGATCATCTCAAAAGTAGTTATGGGAGTGAACCTGCCCTGGCTGACAGGCAGCCTCCCAACCTCAAACAGCATCCCTCAAGCAACAGTATACTTAAATCCCAGTCTCACTGAGGCACCTGGCCTTGCAACAGACCCAGATAGTTTCTGTGCTCCAACATCATTACAGACCACATCATCACTAGACTGAAAACATGGACTTCAGCATCTGAGGTTCATTCACTTGCAACTCCACCAATGTTAGGTAGACCATCACCTGCTTACCGTGCCCCTCTGCTATTTACATCAGAGAGACAGAGTGAATTGTGTGACAGAACAAATGAACACTAATCTGACATCAGCTGCCAAAAGACATGCAAACATAAGGCACAGCACTTTAACCTCCCTGGAAACTCCATCGCTGACCCCAGGGTGGCTGTTTTTAGATTTTTAGAAACTGATTTGAATGGGAAATTGCCTAACCAGAAAGCATCAATAGACTGGACTGTGTTAAGTATGGTCTAAACAAGGACTATGGATTCTTATCCCATTACCTGGATTAGGTTTTGTGACTCCTTTGTTCCTATGGGTTTAGTTGCTTATTTGTTTGCCTCTTCCAGCACTGCCTCCCCCCTCCCTCCCTTGTTTTTTGTATTCTATTTTCTTTCTATTTATACACTGCTTACTGCATGGCCTTTCACAGCATCTGATGAAGTGAGCTTCAGCTCTTAAAAGCTTGTGATATAATCACAGCTCTACTTTGGTTAGTCTAAGGTGAAAATCTACCCTTCCTTCTACTTTACTTCATATTAACATGGCTAAATGTCTCATTAAGGGAAAAGATGTCATCTTTCTTTGCTGCCAAATGAAGGAATAAACAGTTACAAGGGTATATTCATACCTAGGCTGATATCTCTTCTGTGGAAAGGTCTAGTTTCCCAATCACAGACAAAAATCATCCCAAAAAGAAATCAACCCCCACTGCTTACTGCATTTTTAAAATGAAGGCTGGCAGCATTATTCAAGTACTGAGGCACTTTTTGGGGCAGCAGCTTTTACCTGTTCATCAATTTTACGCTGCAGCTGCATGATCTTGTTCTCCATGCCAATGTTGAGCTTCTTGTAGCGTTCCACAGAGCGCGCCTCTATCTTCAGCTTCTTCAGTTCCCTCTTGGCCATCATGCGTCGGTAGCAGCATTGCAGGTATACTATTGCTTTTAAGCTCCTGTGGTAGTGCACACGGGCCAACCATCCCCTCATGCGCTTCTGAATGATAATGGCCTTATGCTCCCGAAGCATCTACATTTAAAAGTTAAAACAGAAAGGGGAAATGTTGCAGGCTATATGTGTGTGTATATATGTGAACAACATTTGGCTGGGAGAGGGTACAGAGGTGATACAGCTGGAGACGCATGAGTTTGGAAAAAGAAACTACTGCAGAAGGGCAGTATGATAAGAGCAAAGAATTAGTAAGAAAATAAAGTGTAAAAGGGCAAAGACAATGGATAAGAACATAAAAAAACAAGGTGATTAGAATGAAGAGAAAAGGTGCTGGAAGGAATTGCAGATATTTACATTGGTTGATGTTAATTTAAGATCCCTGTTGATTACAAAAAAAATAAGGTATTTATAGACAAGATTACAAATACATCCTTTGAGATTTAGTGAAGTCTATAATTTCCTTCCATTGTACCTTTTATTCTAAACCTGCCTGAAGGTGTTGGTCCATGTGGAGTAGGATAGATCCCAAAACATCATTTAGTCTGTCCATTTCTTTCTGCATCAGACTTGGCAATCTACAGCCCAAGGGCTGAAACTGGTTTGCAGAGATGGGGCTCTAGCAGCATACGGCAGTGGGAGAGTCCTCAGCAGTGCTCGGCTTTACCCCTATTGCACTACACCATATCATGTTGCAGCTGGGCAGCTGAGCAATGGGTATCTTTCCTGTGCCATGCTGCAGTTGGACAGTGTGGGGAAGTGGCAGTAGTAGCCTACCATGGACCAGAGCTGGGCTATTCTGGGCCACCACTACAAAACTTTGCTGATCACTACTTTACATGATGTGTAATGTTGTACACTTTAAAACAGGTGCTAGCAGAAACCGCTATTACTTGGATGGATTCTGATTTCTATTCTTTCCTTCCCTTTAATTCCTCCTAATCTTTTTTGCGATTGGCACTGATTGTTAGGTCAAGGGCATATAAAGCTGGTTAAGCATTTCCAATTTTTGAAAACCTGAGTATGCTTTTCTTCCAATATTTCAATCATAAATTTTATATCCATCTAATTCCTCAGAACATTTATAATTCTAGAAACTTAAATATGGTTTCACAGACTTTTTAGATAGTTCAGATTCCATTTTACATTTTAAAGCAAGTTGCATATTTACTTTTTGAATAGCTGAGTTAAGCGACTTTCAGCAATTTCTCCAAAGGTCTGGAGATTCTAAATTATACAGGATCATAAGTTAGCTCCTATGGTCATACCCCTGTGGTGTTAATTTCCAGAGAACTGAGGGAGGCTTCATATTCAATGGACATGGTTATCATGGGTGACCACAATTACCCTGACATCTGCTGGGAGGGGCACTCGGCCAGATCTGACTGGTCACGTAGGTTTTTGACCTGCGTGGAAGAACTTTATTTAGTACACGAGGTGAATAGGCTGACTGGGGAGAAGGCTTTGTTGGATTTGGTTCTAGCCAAAGGGAACAACCTGGTGGGAGATCTGAAGATTGAGGGTAATCTGGGAGATAGTGATCATGAGATGACAGAATTCACTATCCATCATACGGCAGGGAAGTCAGCCAGTAGGGTAGAGATGCTTGACTTCAGGAAGGCTGACTTCAATGAGCTTAGGAAAATAGTAGGAGAGACCCTATGGGAAGATCAACTGGAGGGAAAGGGAGTTCAGGAACCGTGGTCATTCCTCAAAGCAATGATCTTCAGAGCACAGAAAAGGACCATTCTTGTATGCAGGAAAGGTGGTAAAGGGGCCTTAGAAGCCTTCTTGGCTTACCAGATGAGTCAAGGAGCGCTTAAAAAAGAAAAAGGAGGTTTACAAACAGCGGAAACAAAGGGTAGACACCGAGGAGGAATACACAAGTATAGCCCGTGTTTATAGGGAGAGGATAAGGAAGGCAAGGGTGGCAACTGAAATCAAAGACAATAAGAAGTCCTTCTTTAGGTATATAGAGAGCAGGAGGAAGACCAAGAGAAATGTGGGCCCCTTGCAGAATGGGATGGGACAGCTGATAACATATAGTCAGAAGAAAGCTGAACTCTTTAATTAATACTTTGCGTCAGTGTTCCTGCATGTAAATTGTGGTCACCCGTCTGGTCGGATACTGGACAGGTGCAGGAGGGGGTGATTGCTACCCAATGGTCAGTGTCCAACTGGTGAGGGAGCACTTAGAGCAGCTGAATGTCTTCAAGTCAGCAGGACTGGATGGACTACACCTGACAGTGCTGAGGGAATTGGCTGGTGTCATTGTGGCACCATTGGTGAGGGTATATGAAGACTTGTGGTGCTTGGGAGAGGTCTTGGAAGACTGGAAAAGGGCCCGTGTGGTGCCAACCTTTAAGAAGGGAAGGAGGGAGGATCCGGGAAACTATTGGCCAGTCACTTTGACCTAGATATAAGGTAAAATTTTGGAAAAAATGATCAAGAAGTCCATTTGTGACAGACTGGTAGAAGGCATGGTGCTGAAGGATAGCCAGTATGGTTTCACTACAGGCAGGTCATGTCTGATCAATCTCATCTCCTTCTATGATCAAGTAATGAACTGCTCAGATGTGGGAGATGTGGTTGATATCATATACTTGGATTTTAAAAAGACCTTTGATATGCTCTCGCATGATGCTCTTATAAAAAAAACCTGAAGGATTGTGGACTGGCAGAGTTCATGGTCAAGTGGGCTGGGAACTGGCTAAGGAGTTGAACCCAAAGAGTATTAGTGGATGGGTCTGTATTGTTTTGGTGAGAGGTGGCCAGTGGTGTCCTGCAAGGTTCAGTTCTTGGTCTTGTGCTGTTCAACGTCTTTATGAATGATTTAGATGAGTATGTGGCAAGCACGCTGGCCAAGTCTAGAGACGATACTAAGTTATGGGGGAAAGCGGTCATGTTAAGGGATAGGATACAGATCCAATCAGACCTGGACAAGCTGGAAAGGTAGGCAGAGCGGAACCAGATGCAGTTCAATAAAGATAAATGCAGAGTGCTTCATCTGGGAAGAAGTAACCAGCAACATGAATATAGATTAAGAGAAAATGTCCTGGCCAGCATGATGGCTGAAAGGGACCTTAGGGTTATGGTTGATCATAGGATGAACATGAGCCACCAGTGCAAGGCTGTAGTCAACAGAGCTAACAGCATACTGGGATGCATTAGCCGATGTGTCACAAGTAGGGCTAAAGGTACTTCCTCTCTACCCAGCGCTGGTGAGACCCCCAGCTGGGGTACTGTGCCCACTTCTGGGTGCTGCACATCAAAAAAGATATGGAGAATCTTGAAAGGGTCCAGAGAGAAGGGCCACAAGAATGATTAAGGGTCTGGAGGGCAAACCTTATGAGGAAAGACTAAGAAACCTAGGACTGTTTAGCTTGGGGAAGAAAAGACTGAGGGGGAACTTGGTGGCTGTCTATAAGCATGTAAGGGGTGAATATTGGGAGCTGGGAGTAAAACTCTTCACTAGGGTACCGCAGGAGAAGACAAGGAGCAAAGGCCATGAATTGGTTTCAGGTTGAATGTACAGAAGAACTTTACAGCAAGAGCGACCAGAATTTGGAATAGGTTTCCCAAGGAAGTGGTACAGTCCACAACCTTGGAAGTCTTCAAGAGGAGACTGAACAGACACCTTGCTGGGATCATTTGGTCTCAGCAGTATTCCTGCCCAGAGCAGGGGGGGTTGAACTTGATCTTTCGAGGTCCCTTCCAGCCCTTAATTTCTATGATTCTGATTCTAATGATTTTTGAGCAACACCAGTGAAGCCTCTCAAGGTTGAATACATTTTGTTAAGAAATTAAAGCTGTTGCACCATCACTACAAGAGTTGCTAGATTAACAGTTTTAAGTTCCTAATATAGCCTGAATTCTTTTACTGGTTTAACAACAAAGTTGATATGGCAAAGTATTTATCTAATAATGTTCATTTTCTTTGACATTTCTTGACAACAAAACTTAAAACTGTAAGCAATGCAAGTGTATTGGCTTCAGATTAACAAATTCAAAATGTCCACAGGAAAAGCTAGCAATGACTGTAAAATCAGAGCACTTAACAAGGTTTGAGTTTGTCCCTTTTTATTCTTTTAAAAGATAAATCAATGAAATGAAATATCACTATTTTAATAAAGTATTAAGGTAAAGAAATAGAGTTCTTCAAGGCATAGAAATGCCATAAATTAACACTACTTCTACAATATTAACTCGGATACATTGTATAAGTTTAGCATTCTCTATTCCAGCTTCCCTTGTTATTAGGGCTGTGCGAAGCTTTCGTAGCCGATTCGATTCAGAGGAGATTTATCAGCCAAGTCTCCTAATCCAAATCAAATTGGGAGACCTATTAAAAGCTCCGAATTGAATCGGAAAAGATTTGGTGCCAATTCAGATTCAGCCATAGATTAAACAGGCAGCAGTTCTTGAGGACACTGGATTCAGCTGCCCCCACAGCTGGAAAGTCTGTTGTGGTGGGCAGAGCGGGGAGGGAAGGAGTGTGTGTGGGGGACAGATCAATGCCCCTACAGTGAAGGAGGGATTGGGGTTGGGACAAGCTGCCCAGCCGGGGTGGGGGGGGGCTTAGGTCTTGGGGAGGGGGGCAACCGCCACTGCACACCATCGGTCCGGGAGGGCATGGGAGCAGGAGTGTGCCCCTGGATCTGCGTGGGGCGGGCTGCGCTCTGGGAGGCTAGCCCCAGTTGCCTGCTGCCGGGCTGTGCTCCTGCAAGGCTGGTGGAGCCAGGACTGCACTCTGGACAGCTAGCCCCAGTTGCAGCCCAGAGTGCAGCCCTGGCTCCGCCCGCCCTGCAAAGCACAGTGGAGCGGAAGCTACGTGGGGAGGTAAAATTCCCCATAGCACCTGCCGCCGGGTGTATGCGACTGCCCCCATGCCCTGCTGCTGCTCGCCCAGTTGGAGTGAAGCCATGACTTGTCTGGGAGGCACAGGGAGGCTGGGTGAGTGGTAGGAGGGCACAGTCCTCACTCCCAGTGCCTTCCACCGCCCGTCCGGAGCACAGCCTGGTTTAGCCCACCCTGCACAGATCCAAGAGCACACACCTGCTCCCATGCCCTCCCAGACTGGTGACAAGCAGTGGCGGGAACCCCCACTCCCCAAGTCCTGTGCCCCTCCAGCCCCAAAACCTCCCTGACTGTGGGGGCATTGATCTGTCGAATCATCGAACTGAATCACTGTCTCTCTGAATCGGCCAAATCCAAATCGAATACTTGCCGCGTTGCACAGGCCTCCTTCTTATCTGTTTATCTGCATAGTTTCACATTACCAGTGTATATATACCTTGATAACTAAGATAAAAATCAATATTCAGTTACATTTTTACCTTAACTAGCCTGAAAGGAAAAATAAAGTAATATAAAATACCTCCATTCTGTTGGTCTAGCCCTCATCAGTCAGTGAAATTTATATTCCAAGGATAAAATGAAACATTCCAGAATAATATAAAAATATTTAAAAAGTCTTACTGATTTTATTGAATGCTTTCCAGGAGTTTATGAATAACTGAGGAGGGACTAAGCTTCTTGTTAAACTGACCGGCACAACACAATATACTTTGGAGGCCTATCCCAGAATGTATGCAACAGGTGATTCAATTAGTTCAGATTCCATTTTAGTCACGTGACTGTTGCACATGCTTTCTGGGCATGTGCCCATAAAACAACAGGCAGCTTTCACAATCCTTTCCTAAAGAGTAATGTACAAATCATATAGTAAAGTCATATGTGGGCTTATAGTCATGTATTGTTCTATACCTCATATTTGTATCGGCTGGAGAAGAAACAGAATACTCTAGGACAAATTGTCAGTGAATGATTAGCTGACCTTTGAAAAAATATAATGCAAAACAATGGTAATAGACAAACTTGCCATGAAAGATATTTGCTTTGTGTATGTTGGCCAACTGAGCAGTGATTCTGCTTCCAATCAAAGTGAACTGAGGACAGATTTTCAATTTTGGTAAATCATAATTTTTAAAAATTGTATCACATAACTACATCATCTATTATCCTAGTATTGCAGGCATCCTAAGACCTTAGGACTTAAACTTCCTCCCTCAAAGACCAATATGTACAAATAAGGTATACATGGTTTGCCTTTATCATGTTCCATCTGTTGTGTCAGGATCTTATATTCCATAATTCTTAACTGCAATTATTAGGGTGAATAATTCATTAAGATTGAGCAGCCTCCTCTGACAGATCGGTTTGACTGGCCCTTTCAGTGACTTCATAAGTAACATGACTTCTATTACAAGGTTTTGCGACATGCCTATCAAATGGTGTTCTTTATAACTCATCATATGCATAACAATCACATGACTATGTTGAGGATTACTGAGTGGCTTGAATCATCTGCTCCACATACCATGAGGGTGGCTTTTAGGTTAAAAGTTGAGGTGACGCATCTCAAGTTAACAGAAAGCTTATTCTTTTCTGAAGTTGGTATATATTGTTTGAAAATCATCTGTCAACCTATCAAAATTCCATATATTAATATTGTTATACAAACCAATAACATAGACACTTCAAGTGTTAGTAAAGCCAAGTACTATTATGTACACTAGAAAAATGTATAGCAGGTGGAATAGGAGGTGACTGAGTGAATGTGTACAGGAGAAGAAATTTTACTATCTACCTACTGACTGCTCATTTTCACAACCTTCATATTGATGCTGTGTTAGGCTGCCATACTTGGTGCACAAGAATATACACATCACTTTATGTTACACAAATGTAAAATTTGAATAAATTCTTTCAGTGCAATAGTCTGATCAAATATGAGAGAAGCATTTTAAGCAGTAATTGCTAGGCATTTATGGTCTATACTTTTAACCTATATCAGCTAGAGAACTAACAGAACTCTGTAGGACAACTTTTCAGTGAATGATTAGTTGACCTTTGAAAAATCCAATGTAAAAGAGTAGTAAGAGACAAAACTGCCATGAAAAATGTTGTCTATGTTAGCCAACTAAGCAGTAATTCTGCTTCCAGGCCTGCAACATTTAAAAATTAGATTTTTCTTTTAAAATAAAAGCTGTTCAGTTTTCATTATAAATGTCATATCATAATTTTAGGACAAAGTTTATCAATCCTTCAATAAACTAAGCACAGTATAAGTAAAAAAAAAAAAAAAAAAATTTACTCAATAATCTATTTTATCAGGAGCCGGCTCACTAGCAACAAAATAAACAAACGTCCTGATAATTCTTAATTTTAGGTTCTGACATAAATTAGGGATTGAATAATTGTGTGAATAACTTTGACCATGACCCCCAATTACTGAGTGGCTTATAACTGTATATTGGCATCCATATATTCAGATACTTTACTATAGTTCATGTAGGGATATTCTGAGTATGCATGAGGTATGACAATTTGTATGCATAAGCGTTTTTGAGCAGTCCATAAGTATCATTCTGATCTAATGTAGAAGTAGCTGAAGAAAAAAGCAAGAGAGACACCAATTAAATGTTAGGTCTTCTTACCTGCTGGTATTTGTTCCTGGCCATGTAACCTCGTAGGAGGGACTGAAGAGCAATAGTGACAGCTTGCATGCGCTGGTATCTTTTGCGAACCACGTACATACGCTGGAACTTCTGAATGATGCTGGCAGCTCGAGTTCGTCGCAGGAACTTGACATAACTTACCGAAACAAATAGTGGAAACAATTATGGATGTTATCTATAAATCACAAATACCTTTCACCCAGTCCTATAACTTTACTTGCTCTTTCAAGCTCAACTTTCTGCTCATTCTTTTTTATGAATAGTTTTGCCCATGATACAGTATTTACATTACTACTCTACTACCCAGGTATGTAAGAAAATTGACCCTTATCACCTTCAGGAAGCATTTTCTCATCCTCAGAGAGCTGCAGTGAGGAACTGACAAACTCTTCTTAAGTTTTCTAAAACACTTCAAAAAAGGATCCACCTTTAACCCTTAGCCTTCCTGAAAGACTACTAACAAGTACATCAAAATACAATCCATATGCACATGGCTGATTCCTCACCTCAGCAGTTGACTTCTTTCCCTCAGTCAGCTGCTCCAGCCATGCGACCCCTATGTTACTTGCCCCTTCTACATTGCATCCTGGCCTGAGAACTTGATTCTCCAATAGTGGAGCCATGATCACTTTTGGACTATCAGGGAAAATTGACTACGCATGTATGGCAGCAAGACAGTGTGTAAGAATTGAGCTGCAGCAAGAATCTTGCTCTAACACAGAAAATAAGTAGCTCTATGGCAGTGCCCAGCTGGGAGATGGTTTTTTCTTTTCTTTTTTTGAAGGACAAAAGTAGCAGGTCGTGTACTTATGGGAACTCAGATTCTACTCTGCTTCCTTCATTATGCTGAAAAATTAGATTCCTAAATGATTCATATAGGAAAGAGACAGAAGATGTTCTTATAGTGAAATGCCCTAGTTAAAGGGATTTGCATCAAGAGTAGAGCAAGTGTCCCCTAATGTGCCACTTACCATCGTGCCTGGTAGCCTCTGACATATCGCTGAATGGAGATAGCTGCCTTCCTCATGCGCAGGTACTTCTTACGCATCAGCCAGCCTCGGATCGTTTTCTGGATACGGATGCAGGCAGCTCTCAACTTATCTGCCCTTATTTTTTCCAGATATGCTACTTGGCCAGCCCGGAAAAATATTTTTGTCTTACCAAACTGGTACTTATCCTTGTCCTATATTCAGAGGAAATATATGATCAGTAACAGGATTAAAAAATGATGGATAAAAAAAAGTCTCAGAGGCTGAAAAAAAAAAAGAGAGATAAAACATCCCATATAGTATTCCAGCTAACCCTGTTCTTAACAATTACTTAAAAGGAGCAAGATTTTTCATTTTATTATTTTCTGTGCACAGTTTTGCAGAATTAGTTGTTAGAGAACTGGTGAAATATTAAGGAGTAATATTTGAGGAATGTTTAGAGCTAAATCTTCTGGAAGTACTTAATGAAACAGAAAAAAAGGGGGTTGTGTATTTTATAGTTTTTACAAATAACAGAATTGAAAACTGATTTTCTGTAATGAATGTGATTTTTCCCTGGGGTAATACCACATTCACATTCAATTTAGTTTCTTTTGACCTGAAATTATTTTTTTCAGGTTTTCAAGCCAAAAAACCAAAAATTTGTTTTGGGTTGACAAACTTATTGTTTAGTTTTCCCATTTTTTTCCAGTTCCACCCTGAAGCCAAGAGCCTTTTATTTGCACAGCTCAAGCACTGATTGGTTTTGTGCTCCTTTGTTGGAAGGTCTCTTCCTAGTACTCCCCCACAGAATAATATCAGGAGATTCCTGGGACTATGGCAGGGTTTCAGAATGCTAAGAAAAGCATGGCTGAAAAATGGATGAGAGGCTGAAAAGGTGTTTATTTGGGACAATGAAGAACCAACGTGTACGTGTATACACACACACACACACACACACACACACACACACACTTATTCCTTCATGATAGACCTCTCAGACTAAATATGCTCTGAAAGCTAATACACTTTGCTGTTAAATGAGGTGAGACCCCTCCCTACTCAAATCCCACCAATGCTTAATACTGCTGTCTTCCAGGCATTCATGGACTGGAAAGTTTAATCCAGATCCCATATTGCAGCAACAGTAATTTACATTAATTCAAGTAACAGCTTTCTTAATTTAACTATAAAAAATAATTATCCCTTGCAGTAGGTAAGTTGGGATATTTGTAATATCGCAGATATTGCGATATTTCTAATATCGCAGGTCGGGCAGAGACACTATGGGTCAAACTACAAGGGGGGGCGTGGCAAAAGGGACCTTACAGTGGGTGTCTACTACAGACCACCCAACCAGGGGGAAAAGCTAGACCAGGACTTCTCCAGTCAGCTTACGGAGGCAGTTAGGTCAAGGGATGTTATTGTCATGGGTGACCTAAACTACCCAGACATTTGCTGGGAGGAGCAGACAGCCAGGTCTGACCGCTCGCTAGGTTCCTGGCTGTATTACAGGACCTTCACCTTATCCAGGAAGTGCACAGCCCCA